AAAGCCAAAGCGATCTAGGAACATAGATTTCGGCCCCCTGGGTCAATCGAGACGAGCCTCTGAAAGCATCCATATGGTCGAAGATACGGGTCTTTAGTTGTGACTGTTTATCCTACCCGTGCAGATCGCGAAACGCTGCTAATAAGATCAAGCGTCTCAAAAAGCCTGCGCTGAAGAATCCCTAATCAGTCTTCACACGGCGGAGGTACTTCTACAATAAAGTCAGCAAACCGAAACACAATATCTGGAGGCATATACAACCGGGTCGATGAACCATTATTAGTTAAAGTAGGGAATTTGAAGGAAAACCTGAATTTAAACCAATCGAAAACAGGCGGACAAACTATACACAGACAATCCTGGTTCTGCTTGTGTTGGTGGTGATGGTGTCTGTCACTCGCGAACCAACATAACACCTATGCTTCTTTTTCATCCATTTGCGAGAAATAACGAAAATCCCATCGTAATTGGAGCTGATAATCTACTTGACCAAAGAGTTTAATATACTTATCGGACAAAGCAAAAGTATGCGATCGTAAATGCTTCCGAAAGCCTCAGCATGGTCGGGGGTGGGTGCCTCAGGTAGCGATTGGTCATTCCTCCCCTGCAACTCGCGAAATGCTTACATACGACCAGACTTTTCAAATAACCTTTGCTGAGGAAACCCCACTCGTGGTGGAGGTGTTTTCCCATCAAAGTGAGGGGAAGAAAAGCCAAAATCCAGGGCTATAACCGAGTCGGGCAACCACAACACCACCATCGTACTGCGAATTTTGCTGATGGTTCCCAAGCTCCGATACACTCCCAAATGCACCACAACTAACCTTGGCGTGGTTAGAAGCTTTCGCTGTTCAAACAGTGTCAACCTATGTAAACGTCGAGAACCGAAAACCTCCACTTAACCGTCTTTTTTGAAAAGCAAACTTCAGGACTCAAAACCATAAAGCAGAAGCAATCGTAAATTAACACGATGTGTGCGACCCCAAGCCTAAGGGAAACGTCGTGTCCATTGCTCGCGTGCTGTTATCTTCCTTACAATGCTATCTTTCCTAATGACGCAAATGCCCAGATAGGAGAAACGACCCACCACAGCGAATTATTTCATTTTCTGTTACAAATCAGGGATAGTCCATACCCAGTCTTGCAACATCCCTTTTCATATTGAGGGTGCAAAACACATACAGACTGGAGCCAAATTTGGTTGAAAGGTTTGAATAACGTACCGTAGTTTGAATCAAAGTAGTGAATGAGCACATTGGTGGATACGGGCCATTCACAGAAAGATGTGAGGGATTAGACTCAAAAAGCTATCGCATTTTTTTCCAAGCTTAACGTGGGCCGATTTTTTGTAGCAACCACTTTTATAAGCCTATGAAGAATGCATTGCCTAGCAGCCATCCTAAGGCTGACCGAAATTAATCAGCCGCGGGTAAATAAAAATTAGATAAACAAATTTACTGGCTCAGTCCGCAGTCCGTCAAACGCGTGAAAAGCTTCCCAGCAAAAAAATGATTTACTACAGAACTGTCCTTTCCATTTATGCTTGTCCGGAAAGAAGCAAAGTTCAATAGTACTTCTCTTTATAGTCCTCCGAGAATTGTTTATGTCATGCTCGCCTATAAAACGGTATGGAAAAGGTGCATTATTGATCTTATTTGACAGCGGATCCACAGGAAGCGAACAACTTTTCAACCCTCTTGCAACGATGACTGCAACTTGAGGCCATGCCATTGCCAACCATATGGCAAAATATGTGAACATGCACTTCGACCGTAGCATTTCCTCCGATTCGAACAAAAAATACCAGGATGAACGTGTTCAGTCCAACGTGGGCATCGCAAGAATCGGAACCGAAGATATTACGAGGAAATCTAAATCCATGGAACTTCCTTATCGTTTCAGTTGATTTTTCTGTGTGCAAGCATATTAATGCAATTGACGCCAGTATCAAGTCCAATAAAGACCTATTTCTTCATATTGATCATAATAAATGTGTCACTCTCGTGAGGGTTAACAGTTTAGACTTCTCCCCCTCCCCCATCACATTCCTGCACTTACCTACACTTACTGACGGCATCTTCGCCGTACTTTTGGTGAATCGGAAATCCGTTATTATGGACTGGATCCATTACGCTTCCCTACTTAGTGTTTCCTATTTTTATTGTTTGCACTTGTTCTGTCACCTTTTACTACTGTCCTCATTTCAAGTACGCTTTTCTCGGCCGTAGCAAAAATTTGCCCTACTGACTTCGGATGACACACCTGACAGATCCTTCCATCTGGAAGCATTTTCGAGTCCGGGCATTTAGCAGACTGACCACTGCAATAAGACGCCTGTTGGCATTCGGTCGCTTCTCGGCACATGCGCGTTTTGGAGTGAAATTGGCACTGATGATCACAGCATTCACCAGCAGTCATTGAGCATTGAGCCTGAATGGGGAATAGTGGAGAAAAAGGCATTTTTACTTTGGTAAATGAAATCAATAGCAACAATCAAGGGCACAATTCTCTACCTCACTCCCAAACCATCCCAAATTCACAAGATTCGTTAAAAAATACCAACTTCAGTCAACACTGGAAACCGTTGTCAGACCAAGTTGAGGCATGGTACAGAAGAATAAGGCAGACTAATTCGACTTTACTCAACCAGGTCGGGGATGTCTCGGGCTCCTTGACTACACTAGCTGATAACAGCCTTTAGAGAGTAAACAGTTGTTCTAAAGGATTCTGTGAGCTTGCGATAGGTAGACTTCCCAGAATAAACAAATTGTTGAACCGTTTGATTTCTTATTACATTGGACCATGATCGATACTGTCATTACTATTAACAATAATTATTACTATTATAGTGATGTCAGCAGTAATGAGAATTTAAGAAATAGGAATAGCGATAGTAATAGTAGTATTAATATTTTAGCTCACTTAATTATTCTTATGATGCTGTTAACCGGAGCCTAAATTTACGAGAGTCGAGTAAAAAGATTCAGCATGCACAAAACGGTTTCTTTGTAGTAGAACAATAAGCATCATATTTTCTCGAATTGTTCTCCGCCAGCGCTCACGCAGTTTCATGCGCTTAATTCATTTGGTGGAACAGCTCGACCATGCCGAAGCGGGTAACTCTTCGATTAGTTCAATGAAAACCTCTACTGCATCTTTTGGTGACTCGTATCGGATTCCATGTATCGTGCGCCTCACATCTGAAAGCACAATAAAGTCATACAGAGCCAGTTCTAGACTGTAGGGTGAGTGACTAATCTCCTGGATGCGTTCTCCAGCCAAAAACTCACCGGCTACACGGGACCTGTGTGGAGGTACCTTGTCATGGTACAACAAGGTCTTTCGTGCGCGAACCTTTGGACGACACCTGGCAACAGCTTCCAGCACTACCGACCGACAATGGGTAGTAAACCAGTCTCCGATGACTGCGCTTTGCTGAACGGGCGGTACACTAGCCACATGATCGCTTTTTGTCATGAACAGTCATCTGTTTTGCTATACTGCGCTCGCGTTGGGATTTCTGAGGCGGCGACCACTAACCGGCATCCACTGGGCCGATTGTTGCTTGGTCTCTGTGTCGAAACTGTAAACTCAGGACCCATCATCACCGATGATCTCCCAAATTGCATTGGAACGTCTATCATCAAACCTGGCAAGCTTGGTGCGGCATTAATTCCCCCGAACTGATTTCTGTTCCTCACTTAACTGATGGGGTATCCAGCGTGCATGAACCTTTCTGAAGCTGAGCTTCTCGTATGGGATGAAGTGGATTGATCCCAATGAGACCCCAATGGATTTCGCCAGTTGGGCCATTGTCCCCCGCGCATCCTACTCCACAATCGCTTGCACGGCTATCCGCTATGGTGGGCTCCACTGGTCGACCACACCGAGCCTCATCAGGGTCCACCTGCCACGCTTGGATTCCGCGAACCATTCAAACACAGTGCTTCTTGAAGGCGCGTCATCACCAAAGGCAGTTCACAAACGATCAACATTCGGCGGATGTATTTTAAACCACATTTGTAATCGTAGAAAATCATCGCCCTCCAGTGACATCGACTAGGTTGCATCCTTGCAATCCGACTATAGCGACCCTTGTGACTTGTGAGCTGTGCTCAGCTGTTGATATTTGGCTCTGTAAGTTGTAATCTCTGAACAATATTCACAATAGACTACAGTTCACGGCCCGGCTATCTGCAACTCGTACGTGTACTGCGTACCCGGAAATTTTTACTCAACCCTCGTACCTAAAATAATGAAACCTTAAAAACGACCGCACATCGTGAAAAATTCCAGTCTAACATGACAAGGAAGAATTTTCGAATAGTGTCCATTTTTCAAAGCCTTTTAAACTTATGAGCATGATTTATAACAGATCAAGCCCCGAATGTAAGTGTCGATATTTTTGTATGTAGGAATAACCACCACAAAAGTAATCTTTCTATTTAATACATTTCCATACCATACATTTTTTATTAAGGTTATGATCAACGTGATCACACACAAAGAAAGACGCGTATGCATTTGAGTAACATGTATCCGAGTTACTCACATCATACATTAGCTAGAAATCCGTGGAAAATCATTGGTCGAGGAATGGGTTAGATTTAGTCCTCCATGAAAATTTTATTGTCTATATAACAAAGAATGGGGAAAGTTCAGTTAGCTTCTTAAACACCGTTTAAGCGAAAGAATTTCGGTAGCGAAATGAACAAAATGAAATGAAATCAACAAAATAGAACAAACGTTAAGCACTTTGAACCGTAAATTGGAGTTGTGAAAAGGTGAATGATGATTTGGCAAGTGGCATTAGGATGAAAGTGCAATATAGATTCATGGATAAAGGACTACGCGAAGATGCTGTGATTGACATGAAGCACCGGCTCCCTAATTGAAAAGAAGTTGATGATGAATGGAGTTAACCGACGTGAGTTGTAAATCCCATCGGGCCTTTTTTACTGGAGTGTATGTCTGCACTACTTTCTTTCATTGACTTTTTCGAAGACTAGTTACGACTGCGGAACGCGAAGGACATAGATCAATGATTTCTTGAAGAAAAATATGAGACGCACATAACGTGAGAAATGGTTGAACCAAGCTCAATCCTGAAACTAAGTGTAGGTATCTAACCATGAAAGTGGATACTCGCCATACATACATGGACTCCAGATATTCTTCGTTACAAACAGCAGGAATAATGTGGTGAGTTTCGTCGTGTACAGAACAAACGAAACGTAAACTGGAAAGCTAGGAAGCATTGCGCAGCTGTTTCGACCTGGCTGGGTCTTATTAACAGTGCGCGAACCCATCGACACAACAGATTATCGCTAACACGGGACCTCATACGCAGAATGCAAGCATATGACCCATTTGACTACCGAGCAGCTGCTCACACCAATTTAGATTAACTATTCGTGATGTACCACAACCCGGTTTTACACTCTTTTTCGACGAAACTCACGATATAACTGAATCAAACCCCATTAGTCTCAGGTAACAAGAATAACAGTTAAGATATTAATAAACTAAAAATCACTGTAATCCTTGGATTTCACTTTCAAAGTTCATCAGTGCATTTCCAAATAAAATACAAAATGTGGCCCGGTGGTAACGTCACCAAATTATCACCCCGGAGGACGAGTGTTCGAACCTCATCTCAACCGCCTACTTTCCTCATTTGTGTGTTGTATGGCAGCCCTTTGGTTGGCCGCTTTCCTCTTTCTGAAAATTGTATCTTTGTATATTCAATAAAAGGAAGTAAAATAAAAAGGAAAACAAGACTAAGGCACTCTGGATAGGAGATACAAGTGCGTCAAAATAATGCAAAATTTTTCACCATGGAAGCCGAATGTTACAGACAACTACGTACTTTTTTCGGTAAACCATTCACCAATATGTGATCCACCAGTTTGCATGGGGAAGCTGATTCTCGAGAATTGCAACATTGATCTCTGCATCTTTTGGCCGAAATACCACAATCACATTCCTCACCGGTTTCCACCAATTTGTTTCCACAAAATGGTCCGTCGGAATCTACAAAACAATCGTTGCCGTCCTGGAAACAAGAAAAGCAGTGAAACAAAAACATCGAGTGGTTAGTAGACGCTATGGAACTTTGACGCTGACCGTCCAGAACAAGACGGCGGGGGGTAGTTTTAAAGTTTGCTCACTGTTGGGGTTTTGAACAGAAATATACCGTCAGTTTTATCCCATCAAATGCATTTCACCGTTATGTATGCGCCAAAACACAACCGCCATGAAACACTTCTGACCGCAAAAAGAGCAATGGTAATTCGAGTGCACTGCTTACATTCGACAGATGGTTAATGAAACGAGCAATGGAATCGGAGGAGCATCGAGAGAATTTGTGATTATTCTCCTTGTCTCCATTGGTTGCACTGGAGAACATGATATAGTTGCCCCGAGGGTCACCTGGCGATGGGAGACAACCATACGGTTCGCTCTGGTGTTCGTTGTCATGGTGCGCACCGAAATTGTGCCCCAGTTCGTGGGCGAATGTGACCTGAGAAACCTGACTGGGTACCTGGAACAGAGAGGACCAAAAAGAATCATTCAAATCTGAAGAATATGAGAAAAGAACATCGGCAATGGAGTAAGTGGGAATTTATGGTAACCAGTAAAAGAAGCATAGTCTTGAGGGTTTGATGTGGAACACCTGACGGGCGATGAGAACTTGCTTCTTCATAGCATGAGAGGGACACAGCAGTGAGGATAACGATAACTGTGATTCTTAACATAACATGTGTTTTGAATATCCTGAGTATAGTATGTCTGACAACTGTTATTGTCATCATCATATACAAATAAATAACTTTATTTCAAAATGGGTGTGCGAATGGTATAAGCAATATGAATGCTTATACAAGCATTTATTTAGTGGGGAATTGACCATCACCCAAAGAGTGAAAGGCACCTCCAAGACCATCAACAGTACTTGTGAATCATCCAATGAACTAACCAAAACTTGATATCCTAAAAGGCATCGCATGGACTTTTGGAGACCATTTTTCAGAGTGAAATGTCTTAGCTCACAACTCCTTTCTAACAAAATGTTGGTTATAATTTCGCGGTACCAAGACAATGGTGTGACGTGCGTGCATTCCAGATCTGAACTGAATGGAAAACATTTGGGCTATCACTACCTCAAAGGTCGTGGTGGCGCAGTGGTTTAGTCGCTGTCACCTGCGTGCTTTGGACCCTATGGTCCGAGGTTCGATCCCCGCCACCACCACCCGACTTTGGAGGTAGGCAGCTCTGCAGTCGTCCAGTACAATACCACGCCTAACCTATCGGGGACTTATGTGATCCACCATTCCAAGTCCCGGGGCTAAGGTTACCGGTTTCCATCACTGAAGAGCAGGTAGTCGTGACTATGGGGTTTACCCAGTCTGCTGTTCATCACAAGAACGTGTGTAATTTAAAAAAAAAAACATTTTACACCAGAAAGCACGAATTAGAGAAATCGTAGATGAGAGAGTGAAATAGTACGAACACAGACATAATTCGAAAACATATAGAGAATACTAAAGTGGTTTTAGTGGGTAAAGTCCATGGAGGGGGGTGGAATACTCCTATCGC